CGTAGTTTAAGATCTGAATCAAAGTTTCTTATTAAAACTCGTCAGGTGTGTAGTAAAAAGTCCAAGGTGTTATACAAAGACCGTGCTTTTGAAAATTTAGGTCCTAAACTTTTTAATGAATTACCTCTGTCTGTTCGTTCTAGTCCTTCAGTAGACATTTTTAAATCCAGACTGAAAACGCACTTATTTAAATGTGCTTTTAATATTTGACTGATTGTTTATTGTATCAGCGCCTTTGATCTTCATATGTTGGAATTGTTGCGCTTAATTAAATAAAGTTATTATTATTATTATTATTATTATTATTATTAGACAAAAACTAGTAAGATTAAACAGAAATGAATAAGATTAGACAGAAATGAGTAAGATTAGACAGAAATGAGTAAGATTAGACAGAAATGAGTAAGATCAAACAGAAATGAGTAAGATTAGACAGAAATGAGTAAGATCAAACAGAAATGAGTAAGATTGGACAGAAATGAGTAAGATTAGACAGAAATGAGTAAGATTAGACAGAAATGAGTAAGATCAAACAGAAATGAGTAAGATTAGACAGAAATGAGTAAGATTAGACAGAAATGAGTAAGATTAGACAAAAACTAGTAAGATTAGACAAAAACTAGTAAGATTAAACAGAAATGAATAAGATTAGACAGAAATGAATAAGATTAGACAGAAATGAGTAAGATTAGACAGAAATGAGTAAGATTAGACAGAAATGAGTAAGATTAGACAGAAATGAGTAAGATCAAACAGAAATGAGTAAGATTAGACAGAAATGAGTAAGATTAGACAGAAATGAGTAAGATTAGACAAAAACTAGTAAGATTAGACAGAAATGAGTAAGATTAGACAGAAATGAGTAAGATTAGGCAAAAACTAGTAAGATTAGACAGAAATTAGCAAGATTAGACAGAAATGAGTAAGATTAGACAGAAATGAGTAAGATTAGACAGAAATGAGTAAGATTAAGGCAAAAACTAGTAAGATTAGACAGAAATTAGCAAGATTAGACAG